AGTTGTCAATAGTGCAGCCATGTTTAAATGGTATATATCCCCACATATTCTCAATGACAACAAAAAATACAATAAATTATTAAAAAAAAGAAAGAGATGGAATAGGCTTTTGGCTGGCGAGGTAAGTGTAATGAAGCTGGAGGAGTCTCCCAGGCCTGGAATGTCACCCCTGAGACTACATTCATAGGGTTGCTCAACCATCCCCCATTCTACTCCCCTTTAAGAACTTCTCTTAAAATGCAAATATGCCTGTTTTCTGTGCTACCTGGAATGCTCTTCCTTACCCTTCCTTGACTTATTTTTTAGGCTCCAGTTTAAAATCACCTCTCTTCAAAACCTGGGGAATTATGGTCCCACTGGAGGGGAGCTGCTGTGGTCTGGCCCCTGCTGTGCTTGTTGGGGTTGGCAGCCCCAGAGCTTAGTGCTGGGCCTGGCACATAGGGGTGGGATACTCACTACTAGCTGAGTACCACACATCTAATGAATGAGTGAATATTTAAATGGACAAAAGAACTATTAATGCTGACTTCAGCCTAGATGGAGGTTAGCGATCACAAAGGCCCCTTCCCAGCCCTGCCCTGGGGAGCCTCTCTGATTTCTCTATTGGGCACCTCTGCTGGGTGAATAATGCACACCTATGCTTGCTTGTGGAGGTGTGCTCCAGCTGTGGGTGGTGGGTGGCTCCTCTATCTGGCCTACCTGGGCCCTGGGTGTGCCCTTTCTTGAAGCGCAAGGATGAGGGTGGGGTCCTTGAGGAGCCAGAAGCCCTAAGGCTAGGCCACAATTGGGTGCCAGGCAGGAAGAACAGGCTGGGGTGGGAACTGTCTCTTAGCCTCCATTTTTCCCTCCTTCCTTGACCAAAATGACCAGAGGCCACACACAGAGGTTTGGGTTTTGAAGAGAGCCAGGTACTAAAGTGAGGACTCAAGAATGACCCTGACTTGGGTCTTTGATGAGAGAGAGGCTGAGGAGGTAAAAGAGGGACACAAGAAAGGATACCCTGGGGGCCCGTGCCTGGGGAAGGCCCAGGGGTGAGGTAGGAAAGCAGGTCCTAGATTCTGTTCTAGCTCTTCCAACTTCCTAATTGCGTCAACCCTGACGAGTCATTCACCTTCCCGAGCTTCAGTTTCTTCATATGTAAAATGGAGATAGCAGCAAGCCCTGCCCGGGAGGTTGTTAATGAGGAAGTTGTGTGTGACCGGCACTTGGTAAACTGCATAGGGCAGCAAGGGCGGGGCCCTCCGGGATTGAGGGTTGAGCCCGGGGAGCGGGGCGGGGTAGGAGGGAGGGGCTCCTGTTCCGGGCCTGCTTTCCGGGGAAACCCGCCCTCCCCCACCCCGCCCCCTCGCTGTCCCCCTCCTCCCAGGACTCCGCGAGGACCCGTCCCGAGGCTCGTCCGCTTGGGTGCCCGCTGCCCAGGCCGGATGCCAGGGCGGGCAGGGCTCCGTGCAGGCGGGTGGAGGCGGGCAGGAAGCGCCGCGCTGCGTCGCGCCGAGCCGGGGACTCTGGGAGCCAGAGGGGGACACGCCGGCTTCTGACCCGCTGACCTCCCCGGGCCGCCAGCCGAAGGGCTCCCGGGGCCTGGGCAGCCGCGGGTAAAGGCCTAGCCAGCACCGTCGTCCTCGCGGCCCGGCTGGGTGCGGGGGCTAGGGCGGGGCCGGGTGGGGGCTGGGCAGGTGCCTCTGAACTTCCTGAATGGTGGGCATTCTGGCAGGTTCTCCCTCTTGGTCACAGAAAGCCAATTGCAACTAAGAGAGTTGTTTGGGACCCAGTTTTGTGGGAGGGCCTTGACCTGTGGGAACACAGGCACTGCACTTGTTCCACTGTGCCACTTGCTTTCTCACTGCCCTGGAGACCTGGGGTGAAGGTCGGAAAAATTGCCCAGCCCCTCGGCGAGTCTCTTCTTGACTGCGTGGCCCTGACTCTGATTCTAACCCACTGAGCCCTATGGTGTTTTTCTCCAGCTTTCTTGGGTTTCCCGACCCCCCTCTTAACCCTTCCGCAGACCTGGGATCTGCTCTGAGCCTCAGTGAGCACCATCCACTGGTTGGCCCCACTGAGGCAGATGGGCCCAATGTATCCAATTCTACCTTAATGTGTCCTGCCGGTAAGGAGCCACAACTTCAGTGGAGGAGACCAGGAACCAACAGGAGCTCACTCCATTTGTTAAGAGAGCTCAGAAGAATCAGGAAAGACTTTCCAGAAGAGGGGAATTTTGAGCAGGGTCTTAAGAGATTGAGTAGGATCTGACAGGGGAGAAAAGTTATTCCAAGCTGAGGGAAGTGTATGAACAAAGTTAGGAAAGTGTGACCAAGAATCTGGTGAGCCTGGCGAATGGGGCACTGGTGGGGACTAAGCCAAAGAATTAGTTGGGTGTTTTGACTCTATATAAGTAAACTAGGATTTTAGAGAGGCAGCTAGTGACTAGGTTGAGGGGTTGGAATGCGGTGAGACTGGAGGCAGTGAGATCATTGGGGAGATGGGGGTCCCTGTAAGTCCTGGAAGTGACTGTTAGTACTGGGTGATGCAATAGAGCCACACAGGCAAAGCTTTGGGAGGAGGAATTGGTAGGACTGTTCGGACTGACTGAAGAAGGGGCTAGGTGGATCTGAAGACAAAGAAGTCAGGTTTCTAGTCTAAATTGTGTGGCTGGGAAGACTTGCGGTAAATAACTGAAGAAAGGGAGAATGAGTTGAGTTTTGCAAGCGTGAAGTTTGATACACTGGCAGGACATTCACGTGGAGATGTCAAAAGCAGGAAGTTTGTTCATTCGTTTATTATTGATGCCAGCCTCAAAGGCAGCTTATATGAAAGTCACACAGAAGATAAAATGATAAAACCACTAAAACTCAGCTAAAGGACCTGATAGCTAAGTAACAAAGGGAGTGGATAATTTATTATTGGAAAATCTAGGCTCAGAAAAGCCACTGAAAATGAACACAGGACTCCTTTCTGAGCTTGCTGGCAGCCAAGCATACAAGAAAATAAATAAATAAAACAGTGTACAAGGTTGGAACTCAGGAGAAAGGCAGTAGGTGGTAGGAGATAAAATGGGATCACAGGTGGCAGGTGTGGGAGAGGGAGGAGAACTGAAGCTGGGACAGGGCTTCAGCAATGCTGACATTTAAAGAAGGGCTTATCCTTTCCTGGAGCCTTGGTCACTCAGTGGTTAAGACCTTGGCTTTTACCTAAAAGGCTGGCAGTTTCAATCTACCAGCTGCTTCTTGGAAACCCTGTGGGGCAGCTCTACTCTGTCCTGTAGGGTTGCTATGAGTTGGAATCGACTCAACGACAATGGGTTTGGTTTGGTTTTCTGGATCCTTTCCTGAGAAAGAAGGCTCTTCCCAGGCTGACACGGGGACTGCCCTCCGTTCACACCATTCTTCTTACAGGGAGCAGGATAGAAGGCGGTGCTGTCTCCAGGGCTCTGACCTTTTCGTCCACCATGAGGTGGAACTGCCGATTGCCCAGAGCCTTTTGGGGCTCTGGTCTGGGAAGAGCACACCAGCCACCAGGTGAGCAGGAAGTAGAGGTTTCTGTTCCTACCTCTCCCTTCCTCTTCTGGGTCCACATGGTGCCTCCAAGAGAGCAGGGATCCAGACACCAGGTGTACCGCAGTTCACTAGCTGTTGACCTTGGTCAGGTCACCGCATCTCTGTGAACTTCGCTTTTCTCATCTAAAAATAAGAGATTTGGACTAGCTGATCTGGGAGGGCCCCTTGTAGCTATATAAACCTGGGAACACTTGTCTGATTTCATTTTACATTCAACAAATATTTACTGAGTGCCTGCTATGTCCTGGACCGAATGCTACATTTTAGGTATATGATCGTGAACAAAAACAGATGTGATCCATGCTCTTGTGGGCCTCATGGTCTGCGCGGGGAGATAAATGTTAATCAAATAATCACATGATGAGATAGAAAATTGTGTAATAACTGCACTGAGAGCGAATAATGGGAGGTTTGACAGAGATTGGGGTCTGTGTCTTGGTGGGAAAATGTGGGTAGGATCTGTATGTGCTATTTTCCCTTCTCCTTTCTGTCTGTAGATGATCGAATCCCCTTTCTGATCCACTGGAGTTGGCCTCGTAAAGGAGAATGTCCCCTTGGGCCCTCTAGGTGAGGCTTTGGTGTCATACCTTAAAATACATCGGGGCACAGCATGCTGGGAAGGGTCAGATCTTGGAGGTAGCTTGTTCCCTGGGAGCAGGGGGAAGGGTGGTTGGCATTCTGGGATGGAGAGCATATGGAATCAGCAACCAGGCCTGAGAGGAAGTTGGCTTAGATCATTTACAGTAGTAGTCATAGTGGTCAGCCCGAGGGAGGACCTGTGGGGAGTGGGGTGGAGTCTGGCCGTGGCCAGCCAGAGTTCCAGGTGGGCAGTCACTGTAGAGAGCTGGAGGGCTAGGGGTGAGGCCTCAGTCCCTGGAAGAGTGTGAGAGTTCAGTCAGGGCTCTCAACTTGGTGTTCAGTGTTGGGCCTGGATCTCGGCAAGCCAGAAGTCCACTGGTCTAGATGGGCTGGACCCAGAGCCTGTGTCGGGCTGAGCTCTGTATCCAAGTCCCAGCTTATCCCCTTTTCTTGCTCCCAGGGCCTTTACACGCCACCATGGAAGCTCAGTGGGCAGTGCTCCCCCACCAGGGAGGCATGGACAGCTGTTCCAGAGCGTCTCTGCAGCTGGTAAAGGGACTGGCTTCTCCGTCAGCCTGAGGAGAGGGGCTGGAAGGAGAAGTGGGATGAGGGAGGTGTAGAGGGTCTGCTGACATTGCCCATCAGTGGTCCTTCACCCCTCTCTGCCCCATTGTCCATCAGTCCACGTATCCCTCCTGCTCCACTCATGGATTGCACACTTACTGCGTGCAGAGCATTGGTGGAGATATGCCATCCCTACCTTCAAACTTTGGGTTCAGCAGTCAGATTAAAACTGCACACAGATAAAAAACCAGTCAGCCCACGCTAAGCATCAGTCAGTGGCTCCCTGTGTTCTGCCAAAGGAGTTCCAAATTCTCCAGACAGTCTGTGTTTTCTAAGGGAGTCCTGTGTGCCTTGACCCAGTCTGGGCCTCAGCATCTCCTGGTGTCTTGACTCCCCAGCCTGACCCTACCACCACCCTGACCCGCCCTAAAGCAGTTCCTGCCAAGTTGACTCCGACTCGTGGCAACCCCGTGTGTCAAGAGTAGAGCTGTGCTCCATAGGGTTTTCAGTGACCGATTTTTTTGGAAGTAGATTGCCGAGGCATCTTTGGGTGGACTTACATCTTTAACCTCTTGGTTAGCAGCCAGCACATTAACCATTTGCACCACTCAGAGACTCCCTCACCTTTCCTAAGCTCTTGTATTTCCTGGCTCTTTTCCCTCACCCACTTCCCTCGGTTTCCCTTCCAGAAGCTATCCAGAGGCACCGCCAGAACCTGGCTGAGTGGTTCATCAGGCTGCCCAGGGAGGAGCACCAGTTTGGCCCAACTTTTGCACTAGACGCGGTCCATGTGGACCCTGTGATCCGCGAGAGCACTGCTGATGAGCTGCTTCACACACCTGTGGAGCTGGCTCTGGAACATCAGCCGCCCCAGCCTGGGCTCCCCACGTTGGCCCTGTCTCAGCTTTTTGACCCGGATGCCTGTGGGCGCCGGGTACAGACTGTGGTGCTATATGGGACGGTGGGCACAGGCAAGAGCACACTAGTGCGCAAGATGGTCCTGGACTGGTGTCACCGGCGGCTGCCAACCTTTGAGCTGATCATCCCCTTCTCCTGTGAGGACCTGTCGTCCCTGGGCCCTGCCCCAGCCTCCTTGTGCCAGCTGGTGGCTCAGCGCAACATGGCCCTGAAGGAGGTTCTGCCTCTGATGGCTGCTGCTGGGCCCCGCCTGCTCTTTGTGCTCCATGGCTTGGAGCATCTCAACCTCGACTTCCAGCTGGCAGGCACAGGGCTTTGCAGCGACCCTGAGGAGCCAAAAGCACCAGCTGCCATCATTGTCAACCTGCTGCGCAAATACATGCTGCCTGAGGTGGGTGGCCCCTGCCCTGCCCTGTCACTGCTGCCCTCCTAAGGATTCTTGTGTCCTATGCCCACATGTTCATTGGGTAAGAGTGTAAGCCCTGAGTTGGTTCAAATCCTGGCTTCTCCACTTCTCAGCTCTGTGACCTTGAGCAAGTCACTAACTTCCCCAAGCTTCAGTTTCCTTCTCCCCTTGAGTTGTAATGATCAAATGAGATACTGCATATAATACTTAGCACAGTGCCCTGGGTCACAGTAGGTCCTCTGTAATTGATGTCATCATCATCTTCATCCTTGGACACTCGATCTTCAGGGAGTCCCTGGGGAATGAGGCAGTAAGGACCCTCCCGGGTTTTTCTTAACCTTCAATCATGATCTTTCCAGGCCAGCATTCTGGTGACCACCCGGCCCTCTGCCATCAGCCGCATACCCAGCAAGTACGTAGGCCGCTATGGCGAGATCTGTGGCTTCTCTGATACCAACCTGCAGAAGCTCTACTTCCAGCTCCGCCTCAACCAGCCAGACTGTGGGAACAGCGCTGGGGGCGCAGGTGTCTTGGCCACCTCGGCTCAGCGTGACAACTTGGTGCAGATGCTCTCCCGGAACCTGGAGGGGCACCACCAGATTGCCGCCGCCTGCTTCCTGCCCTCCTATTGCTGGCTCGTCTGTGCCACCTTGCACTTCCTACACACCCCCACTCCTGGGGGCCAGACCCTCACAAGCATCTACACCAGCTTCCTGCGCCTCAATTTCAGTGGGGAAATGCTGGACAGCACTGACCCCTCCAGGGTGTCTTTGATGGCCTATGCAGCCCGAACTTTGGGCAAGTTGGCCCACAAGGGGGTGACCTCTCGCAAGACCTACTTCTCTGAAGAGGATGTCCGCGGATGCCTGGAGGCTGGCATCGAGACGGAAAAAGAGTTTCAGCTGGTGCATGTCTTCCGCCGGGATGCCCTGAGGTTTTTCCTGGCCCCGTGTGTGGAGCCAGGACACCTGGGCACCTATGTGTTCACCGTGCCCGCCATGCAGGAATACCTAGCTGCCCTCTACATTGTGCTGGGTTTGCATAAGACCACCCTGCAGCGGGTGAGCAAGGATGTGGCTGAGCTTGTGGGCCGTGTAGGGGAGGATGTCAGCCTGGTACTGGGCATCGTGGCCAAGCTGCTGCCCCTGCGGGTTCTGCCTGTGCTCTTCAGCCTGCTTAAGGTAATAATCCCAGGTTCCCACCCTTGCTCCTTCCCTCCCCAGGGCCCCAGGCCATCAGCCCCCATGGCTTCCTCTTCACCTTTTACTCCTCTCCCAGAAGGAAGATTGTGCTTTCTGCATAGGTGTGGTTTCAGATATGGGCAAGTTGGCTTTCAGGGGGACTGGAATGTAAGGAGTGGGGAGAGAGAAGCTGCAAGGCTTGGGAAGGTTTGGAGACCGGAAGGGGAAGTTGAGGGTGCAGGAACGTTAGTAATTATCCCACACCTTAACAACGGTTTACTTTTCACGTCTTCTCCTCCCACTCTTTGTTGCCGGGAGGTAGGGGTCACTGCAGCCCAGGGTCTGTCGTCTGCTTTGCAGGTCCAGAAACTCGATTGCATCTGTTTCCCAGAGGTGATCAGGCTTTGGGAGTGATGAGTCATCCTAACTCAATCACCAGAGACAGGTTTATAAAGCAGATGCCATTTTATTCACTTACACTGGGAGGATAAATGACATTGGTAATGGGCTTAGGACAGTCCATCCTGGGTGCAGGTCCACACCAGAGGCCAAATTATAGGCCTGAGGACTGTGCTGTGGGCAGGGTGGATGTGCTTATTGTTTGAAGGGAAGAGGGAAGCCACTCTCTGCTGCTGTCTTCCAGAGGCTTTATCGGGGTTCTTCCTTTTGTTTATCACATCAACCCTGGAAATGAAATATTATTATGAACCCTCTTACAGGCGAGGAAACTGAGGCTCATAAAGGCCAAGTAACTTGTCCAAGGTCACTCAGATAATAAGTAGAATAGCGAGGATATTGTGATTCTGAATCTTGTGCTGTTTGTATTATGGATACATAATGTATTATGAATATTTCTGTCAAGCTGTGGTGCCTTGCTAGATAACCCTTGTCTTCACTAGGTATGTTTCAGTAACTCATGTTGATCTTGAGGGGCCTGAGCCCTGGTCAGTGCTGGCAAAATCCCAGGTTTTCTTTTTTAGAGATAGCAAAGCATAAGGGTTAAGTGCAGGGATTCAGTAATGCAGCTCACCAAAACCAAACCCACTGCCATCGAGTTGATTCCGACTCATAGTGACCCTACAGGACAGAGTAGAACTGCCCCATAAGGTTTCTAAGGAACGGCTGGTGGATTCAAACTGCCGACGGTTTGGTTAGCAGCAGAATGCTTAACTACACTGCTACCAAGGCTCCTGTAGTAATGCAGCTACCTGGGTTAAATCCAGGCTCTGTCGTTTAATAGGTGTGACCTTGGACAAGTTACTTAGCCTCTCTATGCCTCAAATTCCTTATCTGTTAAGTGGGAATAATAATAGACTTGATCTCATTGGCCTAATGTGAGGATTAAATGAATTAATCCTCAGAGCCTGGCACATAGTAAGTATTCTTTGTGTTGGTTAAATAAACATAAACACAGGCTCGTGCAGCCTACCACTTCTCACGTCATTGCCTCAGACAGTAGGGAATGTCCACTGCTGAGGCCACACTACAGCTTTGAAAATGTACTTGCCTTATCTGGATTGCAGTGATGGGCTGTGGTGTACTGACGGGATTCAGAAAGCCCCCTAGTTATTCTGAGGACACCACAGAATTTTTAGTGTCAAACTGCCAAGCTCTCTCTGAGATTACCTAGCAGAGGACTGGTCCCACCTGTTTCTTCATGATTCTATTGACTTCAGCTTCACAGGGTGGCATTTTCTGGTCTTGTCACCAGATTATTCTTGGGAGAAGGGGCTCTAGTCTCTATCCACCATGGCAGGAGCCTCGCATACGAAAAGTAAACAAACATACAGACATTAGAGGAGGTGCCACAAAATGAACTCATGGCTCATTGCCGGGAAATGGGCCCTTCCTTCTTCCCTGTCAGAACCATTGCAAGGATGGGAGGCGATGTTGCAGACCTCCCAAAACATTCATTTCTTCAACAAATATTTGAGTGCCTGCTGTGTGCCAGACAGTGTGTTAGATTCTGGGGGAAAACAACAAAACCCCATTTTTCTGCCCTTTCTGATCTTACAGTCTGAACACACAAAAATGTAAATGTAACTATATAATTAAAAATTGCAGTAAGTGTCTAGAAAGGAAAGTTCCAGGTGCTATGAAAGTGTAACGGTGGGGGTGGGGGGTGGTTAAGGAAAGCCCCTCTACAGGAAAGACAGTTAATCTGATCCCTGTAGAATTAGCCAAGTGAACAGCTGAGGGGAAAACACTCCAGGAAGAGAGTCATTGAAGGAGAAACCATGATGCTGTCAAGGAAATGAGAAAAGCCAAGAGGGTAGGAGCATAGTGAGTGAGGTGTGATGAGGGCCTCGTGGTGGGCAGCGGCCAAATCACGCAGGCTTTTGACATCTTGTTAGGTGCTGTCGAGTCAATTTTCCACTGATAGCGACCCCATATGACAGAGTAGAACTGCCCCATAGGGTTTTCTAGGCTATAATCTTTATGGAAGCAGATCACCACGTCTTTCTTCTGCAAAGCCACCGGGTGGGTTCCAACTGCCAACCTTTCGGTTAGCAGCCGAACGCTTAACCATTGCACCGCCAGGGCTCCAAGACCTTAACATAGTAGGAGCTAATTCAGTCATAGTTACTGTGATGTAGATGACAGTGATGGTGATGTATTTATATCACATAACTCAGTACCAAACTAAATTTTTAATATATGCTGATTCCTTCCCCCTAGGCTGAAACTGCATGGGGTGTTGGAGAAAAAGAAAGACGTTCCAGTGTCTGGAGTGCATGAGACAGGTGTTGAGAGATGACTCTTGAAAGGTTCAATTGGGGCCAGATTATGAAAATTTTCATATTCCAGGCCAGGGTGTTTCGAGTTTGCCACATGGGCACTGGGGAGCCACAGAAGGTGTTGCAGCAGCAGGGGAGTAGTGTGATCAGATACAACGTGCAGTGAGTTCAAGGGAGATCACTAGGCTGGAGCAGTCGGGAGGAACTTAAGCTGAGCCTGCCTTGGAGGCTGAACAGGCCTGGCCTGCTTCTGAAGGGATGCAGTCGGCTCCAGTGTTCCTCCCTTGCTTTCTTTCCCAGGTGGTTCCACGAGTGTTTGGGCGCGTGATGGGTAAGAGCCGGGAGGCGGTGGCCCAGGCCATGGTGCTAGAAATGTTCCGGGAGGAGGACTACTACAACGATGATGTTCTGGACCAGATGGGTGCCAGCATTCTGGGTGTGGAGGGGCCCCGGCGCCACCCAGACGAGCCCCCAGAGGATGAAGTCTTTGAGCTCTTCCCCATGTTCATGGGAGGGCTTCTTTCTGCCCACAACCGGGCCGTGCTGGCTCAGCTTGGCTGCCCCATCAAAAACCTGGATGTCCTGGAGAATACCCAGGCCATCAAGAAGAAGCTGGGCAAACAGGGCCGCCAGGTGCTGCCCCCCTCGGAACTTCTTGACTACCTCTTCTTCCACTATGAGTTCCAGAACCAGCGCTTCTCCGCTGAGGTGCTCAGCTCCCTGCGCCAGCTCAACTTGGCTGGTGTGCGTATGACGCCCCTCAAGTGCACTGTGGTGGCAGCTGTACTGAGCAGGGGAAAGCATACCCTGGATGAGGTGAACTTGGCTTCCTGCCAGCTGGACCCCGCTGGGCTGCACACACTCAAGCCTGTCTTGCTGCGCGCCCGGAAGCTAGGGTGAGGACCTATCCTGCCCCGGGCACAGGCATGAGGAGAAGAGAGGGTTGGAGGCAAAGAGATAGGAAAAGAAGGGGCAAGGAGAACCAAAATGCTGAGGAAGCCCCGGGCGGGGCGGGGGTGGGATGAGGAAGTTTGGTGTGGGTGGAGGTGATGGGAGAGCAGGTGTGGACTGCAAGAGGCAGGGTTGTGAGAAAGGGGCAGGGACCATGTTGAATTCGTGCCTTGGTCTCTCTTCCTTGTTCTTCCCCTTCCTCTGGCCACTTTCTCCTTTTCCAGTTTGCAACTCAACAGCCTGGGCCCTGAGGCCTGCAGGAACCTCCGAGACCTACTGCTGCATGACCAGTGCCAAATTACCACTCTGCGGTGAGTGCCTTGGGAAGGGGCACTTAATGTCAGGGGTGAGCTTCCTGCCTTGTACATACCTGGCACAGGCCCACCCATGGTGTAGTAAGGCTGTGGGAGTCAGGCTCTGACCTACTCCCAAGTCCAGTACAAGCAGCAGGGCAGGAGGAAAGATGCAACCAGCAGTTGGTGCTTAGAAAGGCTCTCACGGTGCTGAAATCAGCCTGTGTCAGGGGAGGGGGTGGGGAATGAGGGGGCAGGATAATACCCAGGCAGGTTGCCTGGTAACAGTGCCAGGATGTTCTCTGCAGCCTCACAAGGATAACCTTAATGCTGGGCACCCAGTGGATGCTCCCAAAGTGTTGATTGATTTCCTAGGAACTGAGACTCCCGAGTTCCCAATTTCTAGTTAGAATAAGGGGATGTAAAGGAGGGAGGGAGAGAAGGATGTGAGAGCCAGAGGGAAGGGAGAAGCAGGGGCGGGGTGGGGGGTGAAAAAAGAAAGAAGGGAAATAGTAAAGAAGGGGAGAGGGAAGAAGGGAACCAGGGAGAAAGGGAGAACGACAGGAGGGAGAAGAGGAAAGGAGAAGCCAGCTTTTACCCCACTCTCCTTCCTCCACCTTGTACCACACCCCTGTTTCTGCCTCCTCTTCTTCTGGGGGCTGCATTTTTTCAGGTCCAGACTCATCTCAGCCCCAGGCTATACACCCCTTTGGCCCAGGTCCTAAAGTCCAGCGTAGGCATATGCAGTGGGTCCTCATAACTTCTGGTTGATTGTGGCCGTAGGCTGTCCAACAACCCGCTGACGGCAGCGGGTGCGGCGCTGCTGGTGGAGGGGCTGGCAGGAAACACTTCGCTGACACACCTGTCCCTGCTGCACACTGGTCTTGGGGACAAGGGCCTGGAGCTGCTGGCTGCCCAGCTGGACCGCAACCAGCAGCTTCAGGAGCTGAACGTGGCCTACAACGGAGCTGGTGACACAGCGGCCCTGGCTCTGGCGAAGGCTGCCCGGGGGCACCCTTCCCTGGAGCTGCTGCAGTGAGTCCTGCCCTTGGTCCTGTCTTGTCCCCACCCTCAGCCTGGCCTCCTGAGTCTGTCCCCAGCCCCTCAGTCCTTCTTCTGTCTCACCATTGTGCTTTTCCTCCCCCAGGGGGTGCTTTGGTCCTAGGCCTGGTGCGTATCCTCTCTTTCCGGCTTTTGATTGATCATTGTCATCCTGGTTCTGAGCCAACCCTAGCCGCTCAGTAACTGGACCTTACCCTGCCGTGATTCCCTACCACATTTCTCCTATGGTCCTGGTGGCCGCATTCCTACTGTCCCTGGTCCTGCGGGGTTCTAGTGTCAGTCCCTGCCTCCCATTGGCCACCACCTTCTGTCTCTGGCTTATTGCAGACACTTGTCCTATCGCACTCCACAGCCACAAGACTATCTGAGTTTCTGCCCATCTGCGCTCTGCCCCGTCCTTCTCAGAGCCCCGCTGAGTGGCTTTTACTCTTCTCTCTCATACCAGCCTCTACTTCAATGAGCTGAGCTCAGAAGGCCGCCAGGTTCTGCGGGACTTGGGGGGCACAGCCGAAGGTGGTGCCCAGGTCGTGACATCGCTGACAGAGGGGACAGCAGTGTCCGAGTACTGGTCGGTGATCCTCAGTGAAGTCCAGCGGAACCTCAACAGCTGGGATCAGGCTCGGGTCCAGCGCCACCTTGAGCTACTGCTGCGGGATCTGGAAGATAGCCGTGGTGCCACCCTTAATCCTTGGCGCAAGGCCCAGATGCTGCGAGTGAAGGGCGAGGTCAAGGCCCTCCTGGAGCAGCTGAGGGGCTCTGGAAGCTGAGACAATGGCTGCAGGCACCTAGCTGTGTAACCATTGGCCCCCAAAACCCTTTCCTCTGTGGCCTCCTGGCTTGCACTACTCCTTCTAGAAAGACCCCTTCAAGGGCTGGAGGCAAAAGAATGGACACACCTGTGCCAGCTGCCCTCCTAGGGCATGTCCAACCAGTGATTGGACCTGCAACCAAGCCTGCAATTTCCAGGGTCAAAGATGGGAAATCACTGTTCTGGGCTTGTAGAGGGAACATGCCTCCTCTCCCTTCTAAAAGGAACAAAGGGTGTGACATTTTGGTGGCCAGATGGCCCTGTAGTACCATCCCCAACCTGGCCTCTCCCAAGGACCCTCTGGTCATGTCACCAAGGTGGCATATGTCTTATGTCCGTCATGCCAAGGGTGATGCCATCCAGAACATGAATTGGAGGGTCTAAACCTCCATCCATCCAGACTCAGTCTCCACCTCCTGCCTTCATGCCCATCTGTGGACACTAAAAATGCCTGCAGCCACTTTGCTCTCATGTTGGTGCTTTCTCTTCACCCTTGTTCCCCCTTTACCAAGATGGTACCTATGGCTCGGTGGCCCCTGGGGCAGGTGCCCTGACTTGCTGCCATTAAAAAGCTGTGTGTCTTCCATGTACTGTGGCCTCTTCTTCCCTGGATGCTGCTGTTCTTTGTAATTCTGGTTAAACTGCTGACCACTTTGTGTTACAAGTGGTTCTTGGGCACTGGGTTCAGAGGTTGTGGGGGCTGGGAGAAGCCCATGAACAAGATACTGGGATGGGGTAGGTCATGCTGGGCCATCGAATTCTATCACCTTTTTCATATTCCCCCCTAGGCTTGGAATTGCAGTGACCAGCCATCTGCCTTTCTCTGTACATAGGGGGTGCTAGGACATCAGCAGTGGGGCTCCAGAGGAAGTTGGGACCCAGGAATGGGGGCAGGAGGAACACGCTCACTTCCCTAGAGGATCAGACTTCCATCCACGTTAACCATTACCCCCTTGCTTCCAAGGCAGCATCTTCAAGGAGGCGGGACTTTGGGTAGGAGGGAGGGTCAGCTGGTTGCGATGGACCTTGTCCCCATCCTGAGCCCTGGATCACTGATCGAGCCATGGAGGCAGCCACAGGTAGGAGGAGGAGGCTGAGAGAGATTTTGGGGTGGGGGTGACTTTGGGGCAGTTGGGGCAGATTTGGAGGCTGAGGCTCTGGGACAAGGGCACGCTTGAGTTTGGGGCTGGGAGCCCCTGAGGCAAATAGACTCGAGTTAGGGGAGGAGAGGTGAGGTGACCTGTTTTTCTGGTCCACGCCCTGTGCTGATATGCTCAGATTTCTGTGCCAAGGACTTGGGGGAGGAGGGATGGGAATGCGAAATATCTCTCTGGTGTGTGACATCAGGGGGAAGGGAAGACCCCTTTGCAGCAAAACTGAGGGGCAAGTCCTGAGTTCGGGGGTTCCCCTAAGTCCTTTCAGTTTCTGACCGTGGGGAGAGGCGTCTGGAGGGAAGAATGTGCCTGTCCTCCCCTCACCACATCTCGCCCCCAGATCCTCAGGACACAGCCTCATTAATCCTGTAAGTGCCATGAAGGGTTGGGGCAAGGGGAGGAGGGGACAGAAGGCAACGAAGCTCTCCAGCTGCCGTTAGCACTTAAAAGTTGAAACTGGGAGCCAAGTCCAGACATTGAGTTTCTCCACCCTGCCTCTTGCCTTATTGCAGGAAGTTTGAGTTTAACCCAAAGCTGGGGATTGATAATCCTGTCCTTTCGCTGTCCGAAGACCACGACCTCTCTGGTAACCCCCTCGCCCCCTGACAGCCATTCTCTTTCCTCTGGGAGGCACCCCATTGCCACACAGCCTCCCATCTCCTTGGTAATCACTCACTTCTGTCTCCCTCTGATAGCAGCCTTGGCTGGGAGTTATTACTTGGAGGTAGGAGGGGACTGGGCAGTTTCCTTCGTCCCAGCCACTCTGCCCACACCGAGCACCTTACAGGGTGGAAGCCTGCCTGGTGCCCTGTAGAGGGGCAGGGTCTGCCTGGCACACAGTGACCTGTCCTTGGGCCACACCCCCTCTCCTCCCTTTTCTGCTGCATGGACTTCACCAGATCCCTGGAGTCTGGGGCGGCCTCGCTTCTGTCTGCTGAGCAAAGAGGAGGGCGGGAGTTTTGGCTTCCACCTGCAGCAGGATCTGAGAAGAGCTGGGCATGTGGTGTGCAGGGTGGAGCCAGGCACCTCTGCACAGCGTCAGGGTCTTCAAGAAGGAGACCGGATCCTGGGGGTGAACAGCCATGTCGTGGAACACGAAGACTATGCAGCGGTGAGCTTGTGCTGGAGCTCTCTGTGGTACAGGAGAACATTCCACAGGACCCCAGGGACAGAGAAGCTCTCACCTCCTGGGGCACTATGGGGAAGGGCCCCAGCCTCACTCCCAGGATTCAGGGGTGCCCAGGTTGAAAGCGAAGGGTGTGGTAAAGGCATCCAGAGAGCTGGTTCTCCTGGTGAAAAATGCAGGTACCAGGGCGGGGAGTTGGCATGAAGGGCCAGCCCCAACCCCTCACCACAACTTGCCCTCTGTTCAGGTGGTGCGCCATATCCGGGCCAGTGGTCCCCGGGTGCTGCTGACGGTTTTGGCGCGGCAAGTGCATGATGCGGCCCGAGCTCAGCAGGACAACGATGCTCAATTCTGTCCTATCCTAGGCCCTGGGGTCCGGCCCCGGCTGTGCCACATAGTGAAAGACCAGGGTGGTTTTGGCTTCAGCATCACCCATGGTGAGCTTAGACGCTTGGTGCGGAGGCCAGGAGGGGAGCTCTCAGCCCCTGCCCTGAGCAGGCAGGAGACTGAAGCTTGCTTTTTTTTTTTTTTTCTTTCTTTCAGGACAGCAGGGTCCTTTCTGGTTGGTGCTGAGCACCGGCGGAGCAGCTGAGCGGGCAGGGGTGCCCCCTGGGGCCCGGCTGCTAGAAGTGAATGGGGTCAATGTGGAGAAGTTCACTCGTAACAAACTCAGCAAGAAGGTATGGCTGTCTTTTTCCCCACTCACCCTCCACCCATCTGGGGCTGGGGCCAGCAGACTCCCCCCCACCCCCACACCTCATCTCCACTCTGATCTTGTACTTTCATCTCCATCCTTCCCTTGGCAGTTTGATGGCACAGCCCTTAGTGCCTCAGTCCTGTGTCTGGGAGGAGGGGCTGCGAGGAGGGGCCAGCCTCTTCCCTCCCCACCCAGGGGGTTGATGCTGATGCTCTGCTGGCTCCCCACAGCTTTGGCAAAGTGGAAAGCAGGTGACTCTGCTGGTGGCAGGGCCAGAAGTGGAGGAACAGTGTCGCCAGCTTGGAATGCCCCTGGCTGCACCCCTAGCAGAGGGCTGGGCACTGCCCACCAGACCCCGCTGTCTGCACCTAGAGAAAGGGCCCCAGGGCTTCGGGTTCCTGCTTCGTGAGGAGAAGGGCCTTGGTGGTCGCCTCGGTGAGTGGGAGTCCTGGGGGTGGGTAGAGAAGGTGGGCCTTGGGCTGGGCACACAAGTGTCCCCCTCTCAGTGAACATAAGAGGTCCTTCTCTGAGCTCAAGCCCTGGGCCTCCTCCTCCTGTGTTCCCCCTGGGCTAGTCCCCTGGTGTGCACCAGGGGACGATGCGGGAGGAGAAGAGAGGATGTCTCTGTCCCAGGGCAGTTCCTGTGGGAGGTGGACCCAGGATTGCCAGCTGAGAAGGCCGGGATGCAGGCTGGGGACCGGCTGGTGGCTGTGGCTGGGGAGAGCGTGGAGGGGCTGGGCCATGAGGAAACAGTGTCCAGGATCCGGGCACAGGGCTCCTGCGTCTCCCTCGTTGTTGTCGACCCTGAGGCTGACCGCTTCTTCAGCATGGTGCGAGCTGAGGGGCAGGGGCTGGGTGGGGGTGGGAGTGGAGCAGGGTGCAGGCGGAGGGAGAAAAGCAAGTTTGTTCTGTCTGCCTCCTTCCAGGTCTGCCTGTCCCCACTCCTCTTTTTGGAGAGCACAGAGGCCCTTGCCTCTCCCCAAGACACCCTCTCAGTGCCGCCCTTGGTTGAGGCCAGGGACCCATCAGCTGAAGACACAGCTGTGCTCCCTACCGTGCTTGGCTCCCGCCAGTGCTTCCTGTACCCTGGGCCCGGCGGTAGCTATGGCTTCCGACTCAGCTGTGTGGCCAGTGGGCCCAGTGTCTTCATTTCTCAGGTGACGAGTGCCCTAAGGACCTTGGATTCTTTTGATCATTTGCCTCCCAATGAGTTCCTCCTCCACACCCCCATAGCCTTAGCGCACCCAGCATACTTTTCCATGTTCTATGTCCCCCCTCACACCTCCAGGTGACCACAGGAGGCTCAGCTGCCCGGGCTGGGCTACGAATGGGGGACATGATCCTGGAGGTGAACGGGTGTCCTATGGGTAGACAGAATGACCCAGAAAGGCTTCAGCAGTTGTTTGAGGCTGAACCACCCCTCTGCTTGAAGCTGGCAGCCAGGTCTCAGCAGGGTTTGGAAGCCTGGATTCCCTCAAAGTCTGGAGAGGTGAGGAGGAAGAGATAGACGGATGGGCCTGTGAGCAGCCAGAGAAGGACAGAGGGGAGCCAGAAAGGAAGGCAGAAAGGGAGGGCTGCAGGGTGGAGCAATGCAGGGTATACAGCTTAAGACTTATGGTGATGGTAGGTGGGAGATGAAGTCCCTGGGTGGTGCAAACTGTTAACGTGCTCAGCTGCTACCCAAAAGGTTGGAGGTTTGAGTCCACCTAGAGTCTCCTAGAAGAAAGGCCTGGTGATCTACTTCCAAAAAATCAGAGTAGCACACTTCTACACTGGCATACATGGAGTCCCCATGAGTCAGAGTCAATTCAGTGGCAACTGGTTTTTGGTTAGATGGGGGACAGAAGGACCCATGGAAAAAGTCCCATTCCTGGGCATTCCAGTGCAAATGTGGGAAGGGAAAAGGAACTCTTCTGGCCCCCAAACTACCTGCTTTCTTCTCTCTCTTACTTAGGACTGGGCTCAGGCCTCAGATGTGCTGTAGTGCTCCCCTGCTTGGCGCAGAGCTACCCAATGGCTTTCTTGTCTTCACTTTCCAACCTGAGGTGGTAGGAGCAGAGGTGCTCTTTTTAAGCCAGAAGCTGGAGCTCAAGGACTCCGGATATCTCCAATCACAGGATTGCCTAGGGTCTCCCTCCATTCTCATGGGCCCACCAACAAGTGAAGGGTGTGGTCAGAGGCCTCATAAAGGCCCACGGGGGAGCCTATTCCCAGCTGATCTGCCGCTCTTGCTCCAGAGGAGGTTATGTGGGAGCCTTGGGGAGGTGTGCCCCAACAATGACGTTCTGCCTGAGAACGGTGGGTGGCGAGGCTAGCCAGAGTTGGAGTCATCTGGAAGTCGCCCTAGGCATGTATTGCAAGTTTGGAGACCAGCTACACATTCCCTCTGTGGGCATCTTAGGATTCTGGGGGCACAACCACTGTAGTAGTGGATGCCTGGTCAGTGTAGCATCTGATGTTATAGAAATGGCCTTTCCCCACACATCTGGCTGCCTGTGTTTGTGTTGGTGGGGGCAGGGAGGTGGTGGTTTGAAGGGACCGAGAAGGCCCCAGGTTCCAGGGGTGGGACCCAGTTTTTGTGGGAGAGGGGTTGAAATCTTGTCAAATTTCTCTCATATCATTCAGTCGTCGAGGTACTGGGTCAGCCCAGAACAGAGATGCCCCTATGAGAGGCACTCTTCTCTGCCAAATGTCCACAGTACACAGCTCCGTTGAGTTCTACATCAAGACAGCTTTATTACTGGGGCTCAGAGAGCCCGGGGACCACAGGCTTGCAGGCTCAAAGATCCAGGGGATTGAGTCCAAACTGGCACAGCTGCTCCTTGTGCCTGGCGTGGAGTCTCAGAGCAGCCTCATCCCACTGAGGCTTGATAGCTGTTAGCTTGGCCAAGAGCTGGTTCAGGCTGCCCTGCAGGTACCAAGCTTCAGCCCTCAGAAGGGGAGAGGACAGGGGTAGGGGTGTCCCAGGCCAATTTGGAAGCTTTCTTTGCCAGTGTTTTCTTAATGTTCTTGTTGTCAGTGGGAGACACCTTTGTATCCCCTTGCCTTCGGCCCTCAATATAGAGCAAGCTTCCCTGTGGAGATGCTTCTTCCCTCCCTCTCATGCTTGGTCTGTTAGTCATTACATTGGCTGGGACTTGGGGGGCATGGAGGAGTGTGGGGCACGGGGTGGCTGGGCTCCAGAGAGTGGCACTTACATGTAAGATTTCCTCATACTTGGCCTCCATGTCTGCCATGTGGGCCCAAAGCTGAGCCAGAGTCTGGTCCCGCTCCCTGAGGGCCTGCTCAGCTGCTGTCCGGGCAGCCTCAGCCTCTCCCTGGCATGTCTCTGGGGGGCGAGGCAGAGGGTGAAAGAGGACAGGGTGGCAATACCCCACTCTTGCCCAGAGTCCCCAGAGTTACCCGAAGTGGAACTTGAGCGGAAGCATGCCAGACTCCCTCAGGGCATCCACTTTCCCGTGGCCCCTGTAAAGAGCTGAAGGTCCACTGAGGTATAGGAGAGAGAGTAGAGGGCTTGGGACAGGAGATATGGGCCCAAAGTCTGGTGTCACTTACTACCTGTGAAACCTTAGGCGTGTCTCTCTCTGAGCCTCAGTTTCTTCATCTTTAAGGGAGAATAATACATACCTCATGGGGTTGCTGTGAGAGTTAAGTGTGATTAACCTATGGGAAAGTACCTGATGTATCGGAAGTGCTCAGTAAACACTGGTTGAATTTGAATTTGAGATAAAGCAGAGATTAGGAAAGGAACCCAGGGTCTGTATGCCAGATAAGCAGTTTTGGATATCTGTAGGTGAACCGAAGCTATTTTAGGCTAAGAAAAGTTTGAGGCCCAAATTGTGAAAGATCTTGTGTACCACACCAAGGTATTTCAACTATCCCGTTAAGCAAGAGGGAAGAGAGCAAAGACTTCTGTTTTTATATTTTTGCTGACTTGTATGTGTGTGTGTGTGTGTGTGTGTGTGTATGTGTGTTATTCATTTATTCAGAAAATAGTTATTGAGGACTTACTGTGTGCTAGGAGTCCCTGGGTGGCAAAAATGGCTAAGCAAGGTTCCAACCCACCCAGGGGCACTGGAAGTCAGGCCTGGCAATCTGCTTCTGAAAGGTCACCACCTTGAAAACTCTATGGAGAGCAGTTCTACTTTGCACACATGAGGTCGCCATGAGTTGGAATTGGCAACTAGCAACAACAACAACTATGTGCTAGGCCTTGGAGATACAGAAATAAATGAGTCTAACATTTTGCCTTAATTTCACTCTAAGAATCTCATTGCAGCTAAACTAAAAGGGAATGTGTTGCTCATGAGAAATGTGGCAGTGGTGGTGAGTGAGGTCTGAATTTGGAGAGACCGAGTGAGGGGGAGAAAGGGTATGAAATACTTACCTTCTGGAATGATCTGCCTGAGTCTCTTCTTTACTACAACTCAGAGGTTGTTGGCATCGTGAACCCTCTGCCCCAATCCTCACCGGTGGAAGCGTCAGTGGGGAAAGTGATAAGAGAGCCCAGGCCCCAGCTTTCTAGAGAAGGACCATCCTAAGTCCACCCCTTCAGTCTGGACCTCGTCAGTGACCCTTGGAGAGAAAGAGCTTTAGGGAAGGGAGGCCTACCTACCTGTTCCCGAAGACCCCTCACTTCTTCCTCCAGCTGCCTGCTTCGAGTAGCCATCTCCTCCTGCAGGACTTGGTGCTGTTGACTCATCTCTGTGGTGGGGGCAGTGGGAGGGCCGGGGACCAGGGTTGGGAAAGGAGATGAAGTTGTGGGTGGAGAGGGCTGGGGGGACTTCTGCTTGGCCTGGTGGGATAAGATTCTGTGGTAAGTCCCTGCAGACCTGGGGAAGGGAGCAGAAACCAGACTCCCTTCCCCCATTCCAGCTCAGGATGGGGAATCTAGCCCTTCTCCCAGCTCACTCCCATGAGATGAACGAGATAATACCAATGACTGCATTTTTAACCTATAACCCATCAAGCACGTCACATCAGGGATCTAGGAAGGTCCCTGCCTAGGATCCCAGAGGCCCTCCTTTGGGCCTTCAGGATCCTATCTGATTTGTGCCATGCTGGGAAGGCTGAGATTAGGCCTAGCCAACTGAAGCTCTCCTGTTTCCCTTCCTTGCTTCCTCTGCCCACTCTTCCGGGTCTCTGTCTCCTGCCCATCTGTTCACTGACCACACACCTGCATATATGGCCTTCCCTTCACTGTGGGCCCCCTCTAGTTCAGCCTCCAACCCTTGCAGCCTCTGCTTCAGCTGGTCTTCAGAGGCCTTGGCTTGGCGGGCCTCGTTCCTCCGCAGAGCAGTGAACAGTCCCAGAGCAGCCCTCAGGACTGGCTGGAGCCACTGAATCAGCCCCTATGGGCATGATGGGCTCTGCCCACCCATCCAGCATTTTATGCTCTCTCTCCCTTTTTTCCCCTCCCAGAATCTCACAGGCTCTTCATTACTAAGAAGCAAAAACTCCCTCCATGTTCTGGATATAAGAAATAGTTCCCGCATCAACCGTCACTGCCCACCCCTCTCCCACAATCCCAGCTCTGATAGTCTTTTCCACTGGGGTATGCTTAGAGGTCAGCTTAGCCCCCACCACAGCTCCAGCCCTCCAGTCCCTCCAGGAGGATTGCCCTGCCTCTGTTGCCTCCCGAGCTTCCACCCTTCTTACCCAAGTGGTCTCAGAGCAACTCCTTCTCCAGCATGGCCAGCCTGTGCTTGGACTCGGCCTCCACATCTGCCCTGGCAAGTTGGCAGTGGATGGGGTTGGAGAACCTCAGCTTATCCCGTCCTCACCGAAGACCCTAGACTTCCTTCTTACTCAAAATCCGAGGACAACTAAATGTGGGTCCCTGAGGGCAGAGACCTTGTCCACTGAGCTCACCATTGTGTTTTCACTGACTAGCACATAGCAGGTAAAGTATGTGTGATGAATATATAGGGAAGTCACAGAGCCAGAAGGAGCTCAAGGAAGGGGGTCAGTGACTGATTTCCCCAATATCCTCACTCCATGGAACCTGGATGTGAGGATATGAGGAGGGAATGCCAAGAAATCTTCATCTTGTCATGCTGAGGGCTGGATTCTCCATGGAGAACCTCTGCTTCGTTTCCGGGAGGGAGCGTGAAGAAGAGGGGGCACCCACCGCCACCCACCCTGACTCACCGGCACCCGAATTCTTTTTCTGTGCCCCTTTTCCTTTGGTCTTAGGTGGCATCTCTTTGCTGTCCCGAGGGAGGAAGGGGACTCGTGTTCAGGTCTGCTTTCCTGACCCCTAGACTGAACCAGGAGTCCTAGGAGGGTCAGAATTCTAGTCTCTAAGTCTGTCTCTTACACTTCAGTTCTTGGTCTCGGATCCTTAAACAAGGCTGGGGTCAGGGGGGAAGACAGAGCTGTCTCTCTACCAAGCAGGCTCTGTGTACAGAAGTCATTCCTTTAAACCCTCTTCTGGAGACAATAAATTTCAGTATCTGCTTTCACTTTCCCACCAGGCTGGGAGCTCCCATGGGGCAGAGACCATGTTTTACTCTTCTCTGAGACCCTGGTGGCGTAGTGGTTAAGAGCTACGGCTGCTAACCAAAAGGTTGGCAGTTCGGATCCACCAGGCACTCCTTGGAAACTCTGTGGGGCAGTTCTACTCTGTCCTATAGGGTCGCTGTGGGTTGGAATCGGCTCAATGGCAACGGGTTTTGTTTTTTTTTTTTTTTTTTTGGTCCCCTTTCTCTCTCATCAGCCCTACCTCTGCCTCTTCCTACCTGTAAGATCCTCTTGTGTCTGTTGTGTATCCCTGTGGAGTGACCCTATTCATGGGGAGGGGCAGAGAGAAGCCCCAATCAGCTAGGAGCCTGAGGAGGGCTGGGTTCTGGGAGCCAATCCAGGGTGGCAAATTGCTGTTAGGGGACGACTGAGAACCGGAAAGCTAGGCTTCTAGACTGCATGTTGCCTGGGCAACTGGGAAACAGGGAACTCGTACAAAGGTAGAATGGGCTGTATCAGCTTACAAAGCTTAAAATACCAAGATCCCAGAGAGTCAGTCCTCTCCTTATCTCCAAATCTAAGGTGTAGTTTGAGGAGAAAGGGCTTCGGAGCCAACTAGCGATGATTCACTTCCCTGTAGGCACTGTCTGCAATTTGAAGACTTACAAATTACAGATTTATACATCCAAAATAATACCGTTGTGCTGATGCTAGAGGAAAAGGACTGATGATAGCCATTTTGGGCAATTTACATCCCTACATCCATCTGCAAAATGACATTATTAGGCTTAAAACCCAAAATCCCCTTCAGTAAGGCATTCTATGATGTATGAGAGAAATGCAGAAGCAGGTGGGAGAGAGTTTCCATTTCAGAGAAATGAGGCACAGAGGAGAGATGGGCCCATGGTCACCAGGGTGCTGACCTAGAGGGATGCAGATGTAGAGGAAAGGGCACTGGTTAGAGAGACAAGTTCTAGCCTACCCTCTGGATATGTAAACTTGAGCAAGTCTTTCAACTTTGCTCAGCCTCACGTTCCTGGGCTTTAAATCCTTGATTCTGTAAATCTTGGAAGGCCCAGGTTTTAACTGGGTAATTTACATGGCTGTCTTCTCTACTGTGACTTAATCTATTGTCTCATTTCCTCTATTCCCTTATGTGGTTTATTTTCAGACAGGTGCCGAGAAGCTACTTTGCTAGGCTCCCTGCAGCATAGAGTTGGTTGGGGCTCCCTCTAGGGGACTTGTTTGACCTTGCCCTAATCTCCCAAATTTTTCATTTTCAATGATTTTTTGGGGCAATGTTGGGGGTGCCTCCCTCTTGGGAATACTTCCTAAGAATCTTGCTAGAGTCATGAGTGGTTGGAGAAATAAATTTGGAGAAGGCAGTATGAAGGGGTGGCTTGTTCTTGCCAGGCAGCCCTCACCCTCCTTCCAGCCCTATGCTGTCCTGGAACCCAGTCACCTGCCTGCCACCTGGGTCTCTGGGGACCATACTGGCTAGAATGAAAACACCAAAAACTTAAGGGCTTTTCACCTTGTGGATTAAGGTACCTGCAGACTCTCTCTTTAGATACCTCCCTCCATCCCTGTCCCCTTCAATGTTTTTGGTCAGTTACCTACTGCCAGGAGCAGGTCTGTAGAAACAGCCATGAGATCTGAAAGAAAAGTCCTCTTGGAGCAGGCAAATTCAGGCAGAGGCTGATTCATGTTTATTTGTCATCTTGATGGCTGCAGGGTACTTCTCGGGAACTTTCAGACATTTTGCAGAGCAAAGAAAAGAGCCAGGCTTGTCCCTCCAGGTGCTTATAGTTCCTGTAACTCGGGGTCAGGTAACCTTAAGCACATCTCCCAAGATTGGAGTACACTTTTATTTTAATCTAGAAGTATATTTCCCACTTATTCTCCCTCCTGAACCCCCTCCCAGTGTCCAGGAATGCAGTGGGGGTTCCCATTCCTGTACTTCTCATTTAGAAGCCTATTTGCTGAGCTTCTACATGGAATGGTGTTGCCATTATGCTGATGCATGGAATGACATATTGAGGATAGAGATTACAGAATACAAACAATGTACCATGCCTCAGAAGAGCATTTACTTTACATATATGTTCAGTCAACCGACTTTTAGGTGCAGAATGAGGATGTGGTTTGGGGTGAAGGTGAAGTGGAATAAGAAAAGTGCCACATGTCACGTGATGTGATATAAGCCGAGCCAGTGCTAGCATAACCCAGGAATGGGAATGATATTGTGATCAACAATGCAATCTCATCTCTAGTACATTTTTTAAAACAAGCTAAATAAAAATTTTTACAAAAAATAAGTCAATCTTTCTTTTTTCATTAGCCTCAGTTTAGAAATGATAACAGGAAACACCATTTCCGCAGAACTCTGTCTTCCTTTGAATAGGATCCACTCTGAGAGTTTTGAAGAGATACAGAGGAGAGAAGGATCACACTCCCTCTTTTATCCAAATGTGAGAGACAGGTCATTTGTATATTAAAAGAAATATGGCTCCACTGCAGCAAAAACAAAGTGCAAAATTGCACAACTCCATGCTATGGAGACTCTACTGAAGATAATACAAATTGGCGACGGAAACCATGCCAGAGATGTGTATAGCTAGACAGGCTCACAAGGGTTAAGTTCTTACCTGTACTCCTTAAAATTTAGAATTTGACTATGATGGAAAAAAATACTTTGTACACCTCATTGAGCTAGGTACTGTAGCAGACCCAAAGACGATGAGACAGTATAGCATAAGTGAGCGTGTGGTAGGAGTGAAAGGTCCCTGGGTGGTGCAAATGATTTGTGCTGTGCTACTAACTGAAAGGTTGGCAATTCGAACCCACCCAGCAGCGCCATGGAAAAAAGGCCTGGCGATCTGCTTCCATAAAGATCACAACCAAAAAAACTTAGGGAGATCAGTTCTACTCTGTAACACATGGGCTCGCCATGAGTCGGAATCAACTAGACAGCAACTGGTTTGGTTTTGGTTTTGGTTTTGTAGATGTGAGAAAGAATGAATGGTTATGGAAATTTAGAGGCGGGAAGGATTACTTCTAGCTGGAGTGTCTGGGAAGGAGGGCAGTATTTGAGCTGAGTTTTGAAGAATGTATTGGACTTTAGAAGCACACTTCAGGCAGAGGGAATGCTTGGAGTAATGGTGATGAAAAAAGAGTGAATTGTGGTATTTTGTGACTTGGTGAGTTACCCAGCATAGGATACATGTAGAAAACATGTATAATAGTAGTAGTATAAAAATCATCGTGACTGTTGACGATTATTATTTTGGAGGCGATGGGGAGTGTTTAAAGTTTTTTTGTGATACTGTCAGAACTATACTTTAGAAAGAATAATCTGGTGGTATGATGGATTGGGGTAGCAGGGAAACCAGTGAGGAAAAGGTTTCAATAGTCCAGGGGAGAGAAAAAGAGGGCCTGCATTAGGGTAATGGCATTAGGCCTGGAAAGTTTTGACAATTGTCTAAGAGCTTTGCCTAGATTTTCCTTCGGTAGGTCCTTCTAACTCTTTCTAGGCAGAAACTGATAAAAGGAAATTCTACTGATAGGAAATGATGTTGACTCCAAAATCAATCTTAGATAAAGGGAATTAAATTGCAAAATCAGGATATCTGGCTGAAGGGTCCCTGAGTCCAGAGATATTTTTTCCCTCTCAAAGGAGTACCTGATAAGCTCTAATTTCCTAATCAGTCAAGGGCTTTGTGAAAGAGCCAGGAAAGGGGGAGGGGGGAATCTAAGACGGAACTCAGTACTTACTGACACATCTGGGTCAGTAAACCAAAAGCTGAGGCTCAGAATTAACAATTAGGGCGGGGCACTTCCTTCTTTGGAAAGGAAGTTCCTTTTTTTAAAAGTTATTCCAACGGAACTTTTAGATTAGAGAAGTGGAAGTGACTGGAAACTGCGTTTTGGTTCCACGGGTAGAGCGAGAACTCTTCTGGTCAGGGTCGCAGCGGTTTTAAGGTTTCCGTCAGCAGGGCCGCGTGCTGGCTGTGCTGACCTGCGGCGTAATGCGCTGAGCAGGAGAATCTTAGTAGTCAATTCCCAGAAAACGAACCAAGTTTCAGGACCATAAAAAAAAAATAAAATAAAATAAAAAAGAAGTGGGTTTTTTTTCAAGAGGTCAAGAGCCTGGAAGAAGAGATTATGGTCCGAGAGTCTCAAGCCTTCTGGGGTCTACTGTGTCTCGAATCTAACAATCTGCAGCTTTCCCATTCCTGTCACTGGTCCCATCTCGATGAACTGTTGAAAATACCAGGGGGTGGAGAAATAACGTCCATTTTCCCCCACCATTCTCTCACAAGGTGAAGAAGCAAATAACTTTAACCTCAGTTTCCTCATTTGTCCACCGTGGGGCAAGACTTGACTTTAAGATTCTTTCTATCGTTACTAGTCTTAATTTGAACAGTCAAATGATCCATTCAAGAAGCACAGATTTACAGCCCACAGGTAACATGGAAGTCTCGGCTTCTGCCTAGTGCGCAGACTCCACGTCAGACACCACCCTCTACCTTTTCCCCCTTCCCCAGCAGAGGGCGTAGGCATGGGCCGGGACCCAAGCAAGTGTACGGCTTGGCCCCGCCCCTCCCCGCCCCCATGGGTAGGGGCGGGGCGACGGGCGCCCAAATTTAGCCGCGGCTTTCCGGGAGCTGTGGGTACGCCCGCGGCTTGGGGGACCGCTACCCTGTTCTGCCGACGCCGCTTCCTGCCCCCTCCCTCGTCGGTCTTTGGCGCGCGCCTTCCGCGCTCGGGCTCGCGCTCTGAAGGGGCGCGCCCCGCGCGGACCAGCGCCGCCCGGCACCGCCCACTCCCCTCCCCGCGGCCACTCCTCCCTCTGTCCGGATAGCCGCCGGCGGCGGCGGCGGCTGCCGAGAGAGGCCCCTCCTTCACGCCCTTCTTTCCCTCCCTCGCAGCCGAGCGGAGCCGACGCAGCCGGCCGGGCCCCTGCCTTCTCCCGGCAATGGCCGGCAACGTGAAAAAGAGCTCTGGGGCCGGCGGCGGCGGCTCCGGGGGCTCGGGCTCGGGCGGCCTGATTGGGCTCATGAAGGACGCCTTCCAGCCGCACCACCACCACCACCACCTCAGCCCCCATCCGCCGGGGACCGTGGACAAGAAGATGGTGGAGAAGTGCTGGAAGCTCATGGACAAGGTGAAAGGCCTGGGAAAACCCGCAGGAGCAGGGGTGGGCGTGGGCGGAGGGGCTGGAAGGAGGGGAAGGAAGGGACAGAGGAAGCTGGGGGAGGGGACGGGTCACGCGAGGCTTGGTAGGCTAGGGACTGGGGTGATGGGCCGGGAGGGGCGTGGAGGGGTGGAGGGACATGGGGTGGGGGTGGGGAAGAGACTGTAAAGATGGGGGTCGGCACCCGGGAGAGGGGCTGTGGTTGGCAGTGGGGGAACGCTGAGGTGTGTGTTAGGGGTAGCGAGACAAAGATGGGATGGGGGCTGGGGTGAAGGTTAACTGGGAAGCCAGTGGGGCGGAAGTGTAATGGGAGGGTGCGAAGTTTGGGGCTCTGGGTGCTGGGATGTGGGTCACAGAATTGGCCCCGGGAGATAGGAAGGAGAGGAAGAAGAGTGTTCGGTGTACCGGCTAGGGTCGTTGGGTGGTTAAGGAGTCTAGATCTGGCTAGGGAATTAATTTATGGACTCTGCTTGAGACCTGGGATCAGAACAGCTCCGCAGGCAAACTGTGCTCTGGGTGAATGTATAGGTTTTTTTGCATTAAGATGTAATACTAAGATAAAAGTAATAAGAATGTAACGTGTTTAAATGGGGCAAGGAAGGAACTTTTTCCTCTACATTTAGCGCTGGCTCAAGTGTTTTATTATCCTCCAAAACATTGGATGTGATCCATTGCTGGTGCTGAGACATGCACTGATTAAACCACAACGTCTGGTTAGAACCATTATCTTCTGAAAGACGGGTTGACCGAGCATGTTAAGCCCTAGATTTCTGACTTCTGTAACTTCCCCCATACACACACTCCTTTTAGCTGGATTCTGCATTTATTAACGGGCCTGATCCTTATTACTGGGCCTGACTTTAAGCTTTTATTTGATGAGCTTCTTTGAGTACCTTTTTTTTAGTAAGTGGGAAAAAAGGACATCTATATATTTAGCCACTTTAAGTTTGGCATTTGGGAGAATTTTACTTCCTTACAGTTGTGTCTGTCTAATGAAATAATAGTATTTAGTCCTAAGTACTTGAAAGTGTTTAAGCCATCTGAGTATTTGTCAGTACAATTTGTCAGTTCAATACAGTGTTTCCTTGATATTTTTCACATTCATTAATATATAACTTATTTTGGAAAAATTCATACTTCGAATGAAAAATATTTGGCATATCATAAGAGAGTAATGTTGTTTCCTCCAGGGTAAAACTGGTTCTTTGGTTCCTCTCTGGGCCTAGGTTCCTCTTCTGTAAAGTTCTTCATGGGTTGTTTTGGACTAGAAACAGCTGATAAAAATGGTTATGAAGCACTTGGCAAATACAAATGTGCTATGTAAGTGCTTAATAAGTCCTGTGTGTGAATTAACATTCTTGTAGTGCATAGCTGTGGCGTAGAAGCACTTTTTCAGGGCTGGCTTTTCTCATGTGAAATAATTGGTATTCTAGTTAATGACACAAGTATTTGGTGTGGATTGTATAGGTGTTGGGCTAATTTAATAATTTGATGTTGTAATACAACCATTGTAGAAAGGTATGGAAAAGCAACTTTAAATGAGTTGATTTTTTTTTTTTTTTTTAATACCTAATGTATTCTAAATCTGAAGTTTTTAGGTTTGCATTTTAGGGATTTGTGGTTAGGGACTCAAAAGGTTCTAGTGGAATAGAAAAAATTTGCTTTTCTAATTAGTTATCTATATCAGAGATGTGGATGCAGTGTAGCAAAATTGTATTGATTAGTGACCTTTCCTTAAGAAACTTTTTCTCAAACTCTTGTCTGTCTGTCTGAATAAAGGATATGTTATAGATAGTTCTGTTTTACAAGGTAGCCCAAATAAAGTCCCCCATTATGTCTTACTCTTGTCTCTTCAAGGTATGTGTTTTGAATTTTGATTTTTTTCTGCATAATGTTTAATTATTTGGGAAGAATTAAGAGGCTTTTCAGGTTTTGATAGTTAAAGGAAAGTGGGCTTCTAGCTTTTCCATTCTATTGTGAGGAGAGGGGTGTTTTAATTATTTATCTGTGTTACTTGTCTTAGATGATTTTGATACTCTCTGTGCCCCATGTCACATACTCCTGGCTGCTGACACGAAAACTCAGTTCTTTCTGATGTTTTAGTCCAGTAGATTCATACTACTTTCCAGATTTTGTGAATGCTTCTGCAGTGTTGTTAGATTGCAGTCTCTCTTATCCTTGATGTTTTGAGCATAGGGTGTTCTCTTTTAAACCTTATTCTTATTTCTGGTGGCACTGGTGGCTCAGTGGTTAAGCATTTAGCTGCTAACCAAAGGCTCGGCAGTTTGAATCCACCAGCCCCTCCTTGGAAACCCTATGGAGCAGTTCTACTCTGTCGTATAGGGTCGCTATGAGTTGGAATCGACTCGATGGGAACAGGTTTTCTTATTTCTGAAAGTCTTAAATGTGTCGCTAAACCTTCTTGACTTCATGTGGTATGAGTTAAATGGCCAAGAACTTACTGTCAAATCCATGATCATCCCACTCATGTATTGAATTTAGTCCTATGTCACCATCTTGTACCTGTTTTATCCTTGTTGTTGAAGGTGAATATTATCCCAGCCTATTATTAATTTATTGATTTAGCACTGGGAAGTGTTAGTCTCCTCCTCTCCCCCAGTATTGGATGTATGCAGATGGAGAAGTTGGCATAAGTCATGAGTTCTGGTCAGCATAGGCCCAATTTACTAATTTAGGTATCCATTGTGGAACTTAAACTTACTGTTGAAAAAAGTGCTTGTCCTAGAAAATGTTATTAAACAGAATTTAGACATGGTCAGCTTCTAGTTTTTTTGCCAGCCTAGGATATTGTAATAAATATTTGCCTAAGTACTTCTATGTGAAGGAAGTGGCTTGTAAGGAAAGAACTGGTCAGGGAAGAGAAAGGGAGTGGGGAGTGGAGAAAGATATCTTAAAAGTTGCCTTACATGTAAATTTAGAAGTATAAAGGCATTTAGTGAGAAATTTAAAATTTCAGTTTGGTTAGTTGTGAAGTTTTTGAAGTGGAGCAGGGGTTGGAAAATTTTTATATGTAAAGGGATGGATAGTAAATATTTTAGACTTTGTAGACCACATACTCAGTCCTATTTATTTATTTTCAGCTCTTTAAAAACGTAAAAAGCATTCTTAGCTTGCAAGAGTACAAAAGACAGGTTGTGGGCCATAGTTTGCCCACCCCTGAAGGAGAACTTCATGCTAGCATGAAGCATGTCATTGTTCCCATTAAAGGATGTCTTTAAAAATGTATTTTCATTTTTTTGAGTTAAAAAAGTATATCCAGAAGAGAATTATTTCCTTTCTTCTCCTGCCTACCTTCTCCTACTTCCCCTCTCCCCCCAGAAAAGCGCCTGGGGTAACTTCCTATATTTTGTAAAGATGCACTTAACAGAATTCATGAATCAGTATATTTCATTGGATTTATCCTTCCCTCTCTTCCTCTCTTCTTCCCTCCCTCCCTCCTTCCCTTCCTCACCTTACATTCCAAAAGATAACTTTATAGTGATGAGTGACTGTATGAGATCTTTTAAGATTAAACATCTTGTACATATTTCTCCTGTGTTTACCTTAACCTGCTAAGATTGTAAACTCCCTGAGGGCAGCATGTAACCTGCTTCTCCCCTGCAGTGTCCAGTCATGGGGACTTACACAATAGTAGGTGCTTTGTAAATGGTTGTTAAATTGCTTTCTGAGCTCAAAGGAATAACTGAAAGGAAAAGAAATAGAAGGTAGGAATAAATCATAATTACATTAAATTTACTCTTTCTTAGGGTAGTCTCTTGTTAGTATCATCTCTGTTTTCTACATGAAGGCATTTAGTCTCAGAGAGGTTAAGTACCTTAGTTAATATGGAGCCTGACTTGGAATCCAGGATTACCCAGCTCCTAAGGCTTAGTTAGGAGCCCTGGTGGTGCAGTGGTTAAGTGCTCGGCTGCCAACTCTAAAGCTCTTCTGTTCAAACCTCTGCCAACGGCTCCGAGAGAGAGAAAGATGTGGCAGTCTGCTCCCGTAAAGATTTACAGCCTTGGAAACCCTATGGCGCAGTTCTGCTCTGTCCTGTAGGGTCGCTATGAGTCGGAAGCGACTTGATGGCAACGTGTTTGGTTTGGTTTAAACTTAGTTATTTCCTCTATACACTACCTTCTCAAGTATACAACAGAATCTCAATAAATAACACAGCCCATTTATTCAGATAGTGACCAGTGTATTAGGGTCATGGTTTCACGGGACATCCCAGTTAATTGGCCTGATAACATGTTTAGTGCTTCTTTTCTACCTCCTACAACGATGTGTACTGCCTGGGGTTTGGGTCTTAAAAGCTTGCAGGCGACCATCCAAGGCACAGCAGTTGGTCTCTGTTCACCTGGAACAACAGAGGAAGAAGGGAAGTCAGGAACAGGAGGAGGATTTGGAATGTGTGTCTACATGCCTCCATGAACAAATACCTCCTTTGTCATGAGACCAGAAGAACTGGATGGTGCCTGGCTACCATTACTGAACATTTTGATCAAAGATTCCATAGATGAGTCCTGATCAAAAGAAAGAAAATGCAGAAGAGAATTTTGAATTCTCATGGAATCTAGATTTCCTGGAGTCATGAAGGTTGGATGAACCCCTGAGCTATTGCCCTGACCTTAAACCAGAAATATCCCCTGAAGTCTTCTTTAAACCAGACAGTAGTTTAGCTTAACTAGTAAAAAATGTCTGCCTTGAGCATTTTTTAAGAACTATTTATATGGGATCAAAGTGACAACAGCAACTGGAAAGATTAGATAGGACCCTTACAGGACAGTGAGTTTCTGTTAATGGGTGAGGAACAACTTAGAAAAGGAGGGTGAGAATGGTTGCACAGCTCAAAGAATGTAATCAGTGTCTATTGTACATGTAGAAATGGTTGAATTGGTGTACATTTTGCTGTGTATATTCTCAACAACAACACCACCCACCAGAGCTCCTCACGACCTTAGGATTTG